ACAGAACACTGGAATTTATTTGCAATTGTGTTATAAATATCCAATCCCTGTTTTTCACTGGCAAGTCTGGTAGATAAAGCCTTATCCAGCTGAACTGCTCTTGCTCTATATTTAAGTTATATTCAGCTCAAAAGAGATAATCAGAGAGCCTGAAATTCCAAGGCACTGTGCTGTGTCATGGATGTGCCCAGGCTCCTGGGGGATTCTGCCAGACCCACTGGGACCCAGCTTTTCCCTGGCACAGAAGTACTTGGGTACAAAAGCAGCACTCACCTGATATTTATACCTTGTTTGTGTATTTTACATGCATCAGAAGGCAGAATTCGGGAAAGTAAAGGCACTAAAGGAGGGAGAGAAAAGGCAATCAGGGCACTGAGATCCTTCTGCAAAGTATTCCCATCAAAACAGTTCCATCAGTTTGATTCTGGATGTGTCTTAATGCAAATACAGCATTTTCCATCATCATCTCAATCAAACACAACCAACATCAGGGGTATTTTTATTGGATAAAATTGATTATTTTTTTTTTGTAATTGTAATTGCACACCCTGCTTCCAATATCAGACAGAATTTGTATTTCCATCACAGGTAAAAGATTTAAAAATCCTAATAACTGTGGCTGTTCACAGTTTGAATTCTGGGATTTAACAGTTTATACAATGCACCAAGGGAAAGCCTGGCTCCAATTAAAGCAGAACAGCCACAAGCATAAAAATGGTCCAAAGTATTAATATTCATTACTGAATTAATAAAACAGATAAAATCATGGAATCCCAGACTGGTTTGGGTTGGGAAGGACCTCAAGGATCATCCCACCCCCTTCCATGGCCCAGGATCTTAAAGCACAGAGATACTTCCCCCCCTTACTGAGTCACTGGGGGAGAGAATTCAGCTCCAAAAGTGAATAAGCAACAATAAATCTGGAAAAAGCTGTGTGTCCTTTCCTCAGGACTCAGATCTCAAGCTCTGGATTGTGACTGTTCCAGCACAAAGCAGAGCAGAACAAGTGTGCTGCAGGCTGATTGCATTATCTCCCTGGGGAAGGGACATGAAAGCACTCACCCCAACTTTGAAAATCCCAGTGAAGCTCTAGATAGAAGTCACCTAGCTGAGAAGAAAAGAAGAATGTGTTAACAAGCTTTTCAGGCTAAATAACTGTAAAATCTGCTGAAAGACAGGCAGAAGTTGTGTTTGGCAAACAAAGAAAAACTTTCTCTGCTGTTGTACTTGAATTTGTACTGAACTTAAACATCACTGAAGCTTTAGCTGCAGCAGAATCAATAATGATAAAATGATGTAACTCATTTGAACTCACATTTTTCATCACTTTTTTAATACTAATTCAACTATCAAGCTCTGGATTGCAAAAGACTTATTGTAAACACGTGTTTAAAAAACACCTGTGGGGCTCTGCTTGCTTTGATTGATCCAATCCCACGGAATTAGAATTAATTATACATTCATTAATGAGTCAAGTTTCAGACAGGAGTATTGCAAACACCAATTTCCACTGGCCTTGTGGAAATGTGCTGAAGTCATCAGGTCAGAGCTCCTGGCCCCACCACGAGGGTGCTCAGGGATCACAACACAGCTCAGCTTTCACAGGGACAATTTAATTAGCTTCTGATAAATAACTGCATTTCTACAAATTGCTGTCCCCAAACTGAGCAATATTTCACTGTGCCCAAGGGGAACTGGCTGCTGGATGCTGATGGAGAATGAAACCAAAAATCTCCTCCATCAGAGGACTGAACAGACCAGGAAATTATTCATTGATACAAGAGTTAAGAAAACCTTAAAAATGTAATGAAATAGAGACTCCTTAAAAGTGCAAAGATGATGAGCAGGTCTGTCTCACACAAACATTTTATTTGAATTTCTAGAAGTTGAAAGGAAGTATTATCCAAAAAAAACCAGAATTCAGTGGCCCCTTAAAACAGAGCCAAGATCATTTTTAAGAGCAAAAGATGGGTAAAAACATGGAAAAAACTTCCAGAGTGTCCATACTCAGAGCACAAGTCACTGCTTTCCACCCCACCTGGTTTTGCCAGCACAACTCACCTCTTTCAGGGCTTTTAATAACCGAGGTCGCTTCTCTTCAACACTTTCCCTGGACTGCTGCTTGAGCTTCCTCAGAAGTGCTGAAACTACACAAGAATAAATCCATGAACTCTGTTTGTTGTTGGTAATTATAGGTGAGTGTCTTATTTGAGGTCTTAAAGCCAACAGTGCAATGGAACATTTCATCAGACCTGAGGAATTAATCCCAGTTACAGGAACTGCACATTAACCTGCTCGGATCACCCCAGAAGAAAAGCCTCAGTAAATGTTTGTAAAATTAACTATATAATCATGTCAAGAGGGTTTTTACACAGGTATTGGTAAATATGTAGGTACAAATATATTGAGTATGTGTAACATCTACTCCACTGAGAAAATCAGTAGTGAGGAGCTGACATGAGGATGTTGTTGGTAGATTATAAACGAGTGCATTAATATATTAATAATACATTTATATATGTAACATGTGAGTTTTCTACTATAGGAATGCACCACCACACATGGCAATACCAAGTCCACCAGTGAGTAGCAGCAGAATAATTTCCTTTTGCTACTCCATGTCTGAGGTGAATAAATAATACCTGAATAATATATAATATATAAATTAAGTTTTCCCACTGGTCTGTTGAGGTGCAGCCTAAAAGCCACATCCCACTGGCAACTGATCTGTGACCACAGGGAGCAGCTCCAAGGAGATGATGGAGATGATGATGCCACCCAGCTCAGATCCATTCGGATCCAAACCTAGAACATGCTCGTGCAGAGCTTTCCCAATCCCCTCAGCCTGAGCAGAGTTAACAGTTTGCTTATGTAACCCAGTGCAATTTTTTATCAAGGAAATGGATGTGCCTGATCATGTTCACTTATAAAATGTTCAGCTGATTAAGAGAAACCCTTCAGAGAGTTGAAAGAGGGCTGTGGGAAAACAGCCCAGCCTGAGAGCTCTGCTTTCCTGTTGTGAATGAGCCCAAATTTGGGATTAACTGGCAAACTGGGATGAATGAAGAGGTGCTTACTCATCTGTCTGTCTCCATAGCTGATGGCTTCGGCCAGAGGGCTCCATCCCTGAGCGTTTTTCACCTTTACTGGAGCATTATGGGCTAAAAGCAGGTGGGCACATTCTGGGACAAAATAGCCACAGTTATTTACAGCAAAGGATACAGAATAAAACTCTCCCAAAGCAATTCATGTCAGAAGTATTACACAGATTATCAAAACACATATCTGGATTCTGACTCATGCTAACAGACAAAGCCATTCATACAAGTACTTCCAGCACTTCCCTGTTCAATATTATCACTCAAATTAATTGGTGATCAGCCACCAATTATACAACACTGAAGACTTGTCCCCCCTGCTATGTGGATTTTGCTTTTTGTAATATTTCTGCATGGCAGATACACACACCACTGTGGAAGAAGGGTATTTATATTTAATGTATGACATCAGCTCTCTCTGCTGTACACACAAACCAGAGAGACACCTCAGGGCCTTCATCCCTCTCCAAGGGGCGAGGGGATCACGGGGACACGGATCTGGGAACGGAAACTGATGGAGACCAGGAGGGTTTCAGTGTTCCCAAATGCTCCTTGGAAATGGTTCTTCAGTCTCCAGCCACAGGGAAACCTCAGCTCATGTCACTAAAGCCACCCTGAGCTGTCTGCAGGTGATGGAGCAGGCCCAGCTGTCTCATCCCCAAGACAGGGACTTGCTGGGTTATTTTCCTGCCACAGGTGCCACAGGAAACTGCACTGGTCATTCCAGATGCAGCAGTCGTGAGTCAGCTGCAGGCTGAGTGGCTGGGGAGGAAGAGATACTTCCTTGCTGAATAAACTGTCTCCTGTGGGGATAAACAAAGGCCCTGACTAACCCAGCCAAGAACCAGGGGGTTCTCCTGGTTCCTTAAACAGTGCCTGGGACAAGAATATCACTCTGCAGGGAGCAGGCAAATCAGCTTGGAATCACCAGCCAGATTCCATTTCCAGTTCAATAAACAGGCTGGGAGAGCTGGGGGTGCTCACCTGGAAAAAAAGGGGATCCAGGGAGAGCTCAGAGCCCCTGCCAGGGCCTAAAGGGGTTCCAGGAGAGCTGGAGGGGGACTGGGGACAAGAAGGGACAGGAAAGTGGGAATGGCTTCCCACTGCCAGAGGGCAGGGTTAGGTGGGATATTGGGAATGAAGCTCAGATTTCTTTTCCCACTCTTCTCCTCCAAATCCACAAGGCATCTTATTCCCAGAAAACCTCACTAGCTTGAAACACAAGATCATGTTCATAAAAATGGAAAAAACCCCTTTTTTCCCCTTGTCCCCAAATCTTCAGGATCACTGAAGAGGTAACAAAACAAATGGTTCTACCCACCTTTATGTCCCAACATCACAGCAAGATGTAAAGGAGTATTTCCTAAAAAAACCATAGAAATAAAAGAGATTAGATTAAAATTAAACAATTAGAAATTAAAGTTATCGGAATCCATTGCAATCCCTTCCTCAAAACTCCAATTCCTGCTCTAACACACCAACACCCACCAGAGGAGTGACATTTTTCTAAGCAACCATGTGGATTGCAATTGTCAAAATAAATATGCTGAGACACACTTCATGGGCCAAGAGAGGGTTTTTAATGATATCTTGAAACTCACTCCAGGCAAAGAGGTCCAGAGGTGCCTTTGAGAAAGACACAACCCAAACTCCACTGCTCCCCATGGCCTGAAGGGTCTGATCCCTTCCCAGCCTGACATATCTGGGTTAAAAGCTACTCACAGATATGATACTGATTAAAAATTTAACAGCCCATTTTATTAATTTTTCAAAGACTGAGTACTCATTTTTTACAACTACAGTACTGGGCATACTTCGCTACAAAGCTGCCTTTTGGTTGTTTCCAAAGAAAGCTCTGGAGATGATCAGCAGCCTCTTAAACCTGTCCCCATTTTCCTGGCGATGCTCATGACACAGGTGAGATTTGTGTTGTTAAATATTCACTGTGAGGCACCCAGAGATGTTTTTCCTGGATTAATGATGCTACCAAGCTCATGACACACTTTATTTAGGGAGCTTAAAGATGCAAAGTTCTTCCATTTAATTGCGTTTTGCAGATTTAAACACTTTCTTAGAGCAATGAAGAGAAAAAAATGCCGGAAAACAAATTTCTTGTGCAATTTTAACGCACACACTTGGTTGAGAGTTATTTTCTAACTCCCATTTTACCAGCAGAAAGAACCTGCTCTGTGAAGAGGATGTGCTGCACATCTGGAAGAGGCTGCCACACAAAAGCCAGCACGCTGCAGCATCAGGGAATTTTGGATGGAGATGGGAACTCTGCCCTGCTTGCCCAAGAGGGGATGCCAGGGCTGTTCAGTGTGTCCTGCCTGTCATCCTTGCAGGACACTGGCAGATCCCAGGCAGCCACAGCCCAGCTCATTATACACTAACCCAGCTAAACTCCTGCTTCTATTAATAGCTGCTCCAACATCTGGGAGCCAGCACAGCACTGGGAATCCTGGATGCTGCCAGGCTCTGGTCAGGGATAGAAATAACCTTCCTGAGGAACACGTTTGAGAGGGAGCCACACTGTGTGCTCAGGAAATGCAAATTATGTGACCCAAGGGGAAACATTTTCATAAAATCATGGAAACACAGGATCAGTGAGGGTGGAAAAGCCCTCCAGGATCACTGAGTCCAAGCTGTGCCCATTTCCCACCTTATCACCAGAACTTAGTGCCACCTCCAGCCCCTCCTTGGACACCTCCAAGGATGAGGACTCCAAAATTCCCTGGGCAGTTAGTTCCAGTGCCTGACCACCCTTTCCATGGGGAAATTCCAGCTGGTGTCCAATCTGGCTCACCCCTGACACAACTTGGGGCCATTTCCTCTTGTCCTGTCCCTGTTCCCTGACTCCCCCTGCCTGTCCCCCCCTGGCAAGGACTTGTGCAGAGCCAGAAATTCCCCCTGAGCCTCCTTTGCTCCAGGCTGAGCTTTCCCAGCTCCCTCAGGGATTCTCCAGCCCCTTCCCGGCTCCCTCAGGGATNGGCCAGGAGCCGGAGAAATGGCGCTCCGGGGCCGTGGTGCCGCCCATCTCGCTCTCCACCACCTTCAAGCAGCGGGCGCCCGGCGAACACGCGGTGAGTGCGGCCGCCACCGGAGCACCGAGCCCCACGCGGGGCACTGAGTCACCCACGGGGACAGCGAGCCCTCCTCCGGGCTTGGGCACACCCGGGGGGCCACGAGCATCCGGCGTGTCCCGGCTGGGCCTCCGTGAGGCGGCAGGTCCGGGGAAGGGGAGGCAGCTCCCGGTGCCGGTGTTTCCCCACGTGGCAGCTCCCGGGCAAACGCGAGCATCTCGTTCCGCTGGGAGGCGGTGGAATCTCCTCACTGGGGACATCCCAGAGCCGCCCGCCCCCCATCCCGTGCCCTGTGCTCGGGGATGGCCCTGCTGAGCAGCGATGGGAGCGGAGGAGCCGCTGTGCTCCCTTCCAGCCGGACCCAGCTGGGGTTCTGTGCTCCCACAGCGGCCGGGGGTCGGGAGAGGCTGGGATAAGACTGGGATGAAGCTGGGATGATTCCCGTGTGAAAGGCGGGGAAGAGGGAGCAGGGATCGCTGGGATGTTGCTCCAGGGGCTGCCCGGAGCCGGGAATCTGGGAGGCTCTCCCTGCCCTGCACCTGCCCCAGCGCCCGGCCAGAATCCCTGCTCCACTACGCACACTTTATATAAGAGTCTGCTTCATTTTCCCTTCCAAACCAAAGGAATATTTCCTGAGGATTTTGTGGCTGCCCTATAGAAAGTGCTGGAAAGGTTTGCATTAAACTGTGCTGAATTTCTGACGGGACGTGTCACAAAGCTTCCATTTCTAAATCAGCACCTGCTCTAAACTCGAGCTGTGCTGGTCAGGCAGGGGGAATTTGCCTTGTGATTCCTCATTCCACACAGAATCCCAGCTGTGCTGAGGAAGCCCTCATGAGGAGTCACGCTGCTGTATCCACATCCTGATGACAGGATCCATGTTCTTGCCGGGAGCTCTGCCAGAGTGATCTGCAGGATTCCTGACTATGAGGAAGTTGTCATTAAAGAAAAATCCTAAAAGCAGGCAAATCCCAGGGTGCTCAGCAGGTTCTTTTGGTAACAACTGCATCTATGCATGCATGAGTGGTATTTTCCTTATTAAATTCCCCCAGAATTTGCATTAAAGCTGTGGCACTGAGAAATATGTGGCTTCTCAAGAGCTGACCAGAGGATTTGGCCAGTACCCTGTGGCTGTGATGGAGATGGACACACATTTTTTTCCCCGAGAATTCCCTCCAGAGAGGCTGTGGAGTCTCCCTCACTGGAGACATTCAGAAGTGTCCAGACAGGATCCCGTGCCTTGTGCTCTGGGATGGCCCTGCTGAGCAGGGAGTGGGACCAGGGCACCCTCATGGTCCCTTCCAGCCTGAGCCACCCTGAGGATGGCTGGACTTTGCAGCCCAAGCCCTCTCTCCCACAGTGGCCACAGGTCTGGGGAAAAGCAGGACAATGTGGCTCCTTGCCCCAGTGCATCCCAGGCCCCTTTTCCCGGCAGGGATGCCTGGCTGGGAGGAGCTGAGTGCCTTCAGCCAGGGCTCTTTAAGGAGCCTAGAACAGATTTTCCCAGTGCTCTCTCTGATGTTTGTTTCCTATTCCCACTGCAGGGTTATGAATACATCCGGTCTGGGAACCCCACTCGGGATTGCCTGGAAAAGGCTGCGGCCGCCCTTGATGGAGCCAAATACTGTGAGCACCTCATGGGTGGGACAGGGCTTGGAGCAGCCTGGGACAGTGGGAGCTGTCCCTGCCCATGGCACAGGGTGGCACTGGGTGGGCTTTGGGGTCCCTCCATCCCAAACCATTCCATGATTCTGTGACCACGGCTCTGGCTGTTGGTTGTGGGCAGGAGCAGCTCCAAGGTGGGGAAGAGCCCTGAACTTCTCGTTCAGGGGAGTCCAGCTCCATCCCTGGGTTTGTCTCCTGCTTCCTCACAGTGGCTGATGCCTGAGCTGAGCTGGATCCATCCTTGTGCAGCAGCACTGGAGGCAGTGGGAGCAGGCAGCCCCCGTTCCCAGCCCATTCCAGTCTGTCCCAGTCTGTCCCAGTGTCTGTGCTGGTTCTGTGCTGTGCACATCAAGCTCCTGCTTTCACTGGCTCCATGTTCCAAGTGAGAAAGTGACAGAACAGGTTCTTTTCAGAGGCAAAGTGAGGAAGGCCAAGGCAAGTCTGACTTGTTGTGTCACATCAAACACTGCCCATCTGCCACTGACTCCTTTCTCCTCAGGCTTGGCTTATTCCTCTGGCTTAGCAGCCCTTTTGAACATCTGTCACCTGCTGAAGACAGGGGACACAGTCATCTGCATGGATGATGTCTATGGAGGTGGGTACAGCACCCTGTGGCTTCAGCCTTCATTGTGCAAGGGATCAAACCCGTCTGTGGCTCTCAGGAGCTCTGAATTCCCATGTAGGACCTCACTGTTCTTTGAAGCCTGTTTCTATCAATGCCCCTTCCACTCACCTCCCCAGTGGCAGAGTGCAGCCAGCTCTGGCAGAGTCCTGCAGCAGGGTGAGCTCACTCTGATTCCCAGGACAGCCTGGCTGTCCCTGCTGTGGCATTGGTGTCCTGGCTGGGTCATCTGTGTCACTGACCAGCAGAGCTGGCCCTGCTCTGGGCCCTGGTACACAGATCCAGCCTGGGTGTTGTGCAGGGCAGGTTACAGAGCCCAGCCACTGGTGGCTTTTCCCAAGCAATAGCTGGAAAATGAAAGGAATCCCCTTTGCCCTCCCTGGGAATGGTGACTGTTCAGTGAGTTCCCTGTGCTTGTGCACATCCAATACAAACACACATTTGCTTTTCGTGTCACAGTTCTGCCCTGCCAGGTGACCTCCAAAGTGCAGCTGGATCCTGGCGACAGCAGGAAACTCTGCTCCTCTCACTCCCAGCCCTCCCCCCACCACTCAATTAATCAGAGTCATTAAGGCAGAGCAGTGCCTCAGTTCTTCATTCAGAGGGGCTCAGGGTGGGTCTGTCAGGCAAAGCCCATTCCCATTAAAGCCTCAGCCTGGGCTGGTTTCTGCAGGGGGGAATTTCATTGTTTCTCCCCTGGTTTGTTTGTTATAAAGAAAGGGTTTCTCACAAAAGACCAAACATCCCTCAGGTGTTTTCTTCAGCTCACAGAATCCACCTCTGTGTTCCATCCCTTCATGCTCAGATGGAGAACTGAGTCCCTGGGGATAACCTTGGCAAAAGGACCCAATCAATTCCTTTTTAATCCAGGCAATATTTCCTGTGTGAGGAAAATGTGAGTGCTGCACATCCACTGATCAGCTGTTGCTGCTGGAAGCTTTTAATCTTCCAGGGAAAGGCTTCAAAGACAGGAAGGAATCATTTTTAATGGAATGATGGGAAGCAGTAGCTGGAGTCTTCCCCTTGATTCTTCATCTCTGTTTGACTTCCTGATCATAAACCCCACATTGATTTCAAGTACTTCCTAAATCACTCTGATCCCATATTCACCTTGTTACTAATTCATATCATTAAATCCACAACAATCTTTCAACTTTGTAAATAAAGAAAATAAAAATGTGCCATTTTTGGTGTGCAGCATAAAGCTGTGCCCTGCTGACTGCATGATGCAAGAGGCTGGAGAGCAGGGAATGAAAGTTAAGGGAAGTTGTTTCATTTTGTCATTTTTGGGTTATTTGTTTAGGCACAAGAGAATTATTTGAGAAAATAAAAGAGGAGTATAATTTGAAAGTGGATTATGTTGACTGCACAAACCTAAAAGAGCTGGAAGCTGCAATTACACCAGACACCAAGGTAAGGGAGAGGGAAATGGGTTTTAAAGGGATGATAAATTGTTTTATCCTTGCTCCTGTTGAGTTTGGGGCTGTGTCTAAATTGTTTTATCCTTGCTCCTGTTGAGTTTGGGGCTGTGTCAAGCTGAGGGGGGCAGCTCGGGGCACAGCTGGACCCACCATATCCCACTGTGCTGCCTCATGGAAAACATCCTAAGAAGGGCAAAAACCCTGGAGAGAGAGAGCAGGGAAAAGGGGAGAGAGAGCAGGGGAAAGGGAAAAGGGGAGAGAGAGCAGGGAAAAGGGGACCCTGTGCTGCCTCATGGAAAACAAAGGGAAAAGGGAGAGAGAGCAGGGAAAAGGGAAAAGGGGAGAGAGAGCAGGGAAAGGGAAAAGGGGAGAGAGAGCAGGAAAGGGAAAAGGGGAGAGAGAGCAGGGGAAAGGGAAAAGGGGAGAGAGAGCAGGGGAAGGCCGAGCTCAGAGCCGGAGCTGCTCGGTGGCGCTGGGTGGGAGATCCCCTGCCCCAGGGGAAGGGAACTCCGCTGGGAAAGGCTTTGGGAAAAGGCTCTGTCCCGGCTGTGTGAGGCCTTCTCCAGCTGGGATGTGCTGGGATGGCTCAAGCCCGGCTGAAGGGAAACCTCCCTGAGCTCGGAGGAGCCGGCTGGAGCCTCCCCTCGCTGTGGCGGGGCCGCTGCCCGTCCCCAGCGCAGCAACCCCGGGGAGCTGGCACCTCTGGGCCCCAGAGCCCCTGGGACTCAGCCCAGCAGTGGCAGCTCTGACCTGGCCATTTCTGGGTTTGTGCAGCTGGTTTGGCTCGAGAGCCCCACCAACCCCACGCTGAAGGTGATCGACATCCAAGCCTGCGCAGACGTGGCACACAGGAAGCAGAAGGGAGTGCTGGTGGCAGTGGACAACAGCTTCATGTCTCCATATTTCCAGGTGTGTGGAGAAAGGACAGGACTGTCACCTGTCCCAGTGGAGCTGGAGCTCCCTTTTGGCAAGGGAAGCACCACCAAAGAACTGCAGTTCTGGTCTCTGCACTATAAAATGCCCTGCTCTGGTTCCAGCCCAGGTGCTGCTGCTGGTGCACCAGGGATGGGGGTGTGTGTCCTTCAGGAATTGTGGGATCCAATTCTTCCTGCTGGAAATAGGAACAGTTAGAAAGTGTTCCCTCACTTTGGCCTTTCCATAGCAATCCTTCTGTGATGCTCTTCATGGGCTGTTCTGAGTGGAAGAAAAACCAAGCAACCTTTGTGCAGTCTTTCTTTGAGACATCCACTTTCCGTTTTCCTTCAAAATTCTGGTGAATATTTGTCATATAAGTTTAAAACTTTGTTTATTACAAGTGCCAGAACTTTCCAGTATTGACAACCAGAAGACATGAAGCCAAGAGAATTTTTAAGTTTTGCAAATGCTTCAGAATAATGAACTCCCAGGTGTTGTTGATCTTCATATGGGCTAGAGTCTGCCTGCTTTGTTCCATTTCAACAGTGATGGCCCTCACTCTTTAGAATGTGTTGATAAATCCCTTTTTCCTGTGCTTACCTTGAATTCAGAGTGCCTCCCTGTGCTGCTGCTTTTAGCACATGTTCTCTTGTCATCCTCAGGTTTTTGTGTTTGTTCCAACACTTATTTTTCTGTGTAAGCTCCCAGCCCTTTGAATGGCTGGGAATGAACCTGAGTGCACCCAAACTTGAGTTAAGATGTTATTTTCCTTTTCTTTCAGCGTCCTTTGTCCCTGGGGGCTGATATTTGTATGTCTTCTGCAACCAAGTACATCAATGGTGAGTCTGAGAGTTGAGCACATCCTTAGGGCAGGGTTAGATGGGAGATTGGGAAGGAATTCCTGGCCAGGAGGGTGGGCAGGCCCTGGCACAGGTGCCCAGAGCAGCTGTGGCTGCCCCTGGATGCCTGGAATGTCCAAGGCCAGGCTGGGCAGGGCTTGGAGCAGCCTGGGCTGGTGGGAGGTGTCCCTGGGGGTTTGTGTCAGGACCCTGGAGCAGCTGGAGTGGCTGATCCCATTCTTGTCCTCTGTCATTTGTAGGGCACAGCGATGTTCTCATGGGCCTGGTCTCTGTAAACCGGGATGATCTCTATGAGAGGCTCAAATTCCTGCAGATCCGTAAGTCTAGACAAGGAATTCCTGACAGGAATCCTGTTCACATCCACAGCTCCTGCTGGGGAGGGTGTGCATGCACACAAGTGGGAAATCTGCCTGGGAATGTGACTGGAATGGGCAGAACTGAGTAAAGTGCAATTAAAAATCCTCCAATAAAAACTCCACTAAGGAAAAACTCCCATGGAAGGAGAGACATTGGTCTGCACTTCCCAGGCACTTCAGGGGAGCACTGAGATCTATCCTGAAACCCTTGAGGTGCCCAGCTGCAGTTTGGGGGGTTTGAAACTCACTCACCCATCAGGGTGTGCTTAATGCAGGATTTTCTGTTCTCTGTTGATTCCAGCAATTTTCCTCCCTCTTGTCAGGAATAAATTCCTGTCCAGGGTTGTGCCCTCAGCAGGGAAGGTCATTGTGCCAAATAAATGTAATCCTTGAGGCCTGAGCTCATTAATTGGCCTCATTAATTGGCTCCCCAATGTGGGAGATGAGGAACAGAGATTGCCTCGGGTGTCTTCCCACTTGTTCTAAGCTCAGGAATGCTGGAGATGAGGGTGTGTTTGGCTTTGCTGAATGCAAAACACCAATGTTGCTGTGGAATTCTGAGGAATTCTGTTCCTGTTCCCACAGGCCTGGGAGCTGTCCCCTCTCCCTTTGACTGTTCCATGTGTAACCGGGGGCTCAAGACTCTGCACATCCGGATGAAGCTGCACTTCCACAACGGCCTGGCTGTGGCCAAATTCCTGGAAACCCATCCCCGGGTGGAGAAGGTCATTTACCCAGGTGAGTGGGCAGGGGTCTGGGAGCATCCCCAGGGCAGGGGTCTGGGAGCATCCCCAGGGCAGGGATTTGGGAGCATCCCCAGGGCAGGGGTTTGGGAGCTGTGGTGCCCTGTTCCTGGGGCTGAGTGCTCAGCTCTGGACTGGAATTCACTGGGAATTCTCCCAACTCTCCCTGTTCCAGGGTTGTCTTCCCACCCCCAGTACCCTGTGGTGCTGAAGCAGTGCACGGGTGTTTCTGGCATGGTCAGCTTCTACATCAAAGGGAAAAAAGAAAATGCCATTGCCTTCCTCAAGAGCCTGAAGGTAAAGGAATAAAATCAACCTCAGAGGGAGCTGAACCTGCTGCTGAGGGAGTGGCTTTTCCTGCCAAGTGCTGTGTGTGTGCCCCTCTCAAACCACGGATAATTTGTCCATGGGGGTTAATGAGAGGGAACAAAGGGACACCTCAGCCCCTTGGAAGTGTTTGTTTGCTCGCAGGGTGAGGGTGGCCAGCTGAGCCCAGGAGCTGCTGCTGACAAAGGGCTTTCTGCAGCCTGGGCAGCTCTGCTGGGCTGTTGCAAAGTGCCCTCGGGAGGGAGGGAGAGGCACTGAGGAAAGCCCTGAGTCATGGGGCAGAGAGGGAGCCCCTGGCTCTGTGAGTGCCTGCTTGGGTCCACCCAAGAACACTCCCAGGGACCCAGGGGCAGGATGAGTCTGTTTTCAGTCTTAGCTCTTACCTGCCAGATGTGAACTTTATTCCCTAATTACACCTATTACACTTTAGACTATAAAAGATATTATAGAAAAGCTTGGGGAAAAGGAGTCCCTCAACTTTCCTTTTTCCTCAAAGTCCTTGAAGAGGTCCCAGCCCCGGGGCTGCCGGAGCTCCAGGAGGGTTTGGACAGCGCTGCCAGGGATGCTCAGGGTGGGATTGTTGGGGTGTCTGTGCAGGGCCAGGGGCAGGATCAATGATCCCTGTGGGCAACTCAGGATATTCCCTGATTCCATCAGCTCTCTTTCAGTGAATCCATGAGCTCCTTCCCTTTCTCCCACAGGTGTTTACCCTGGCTTTTAGCCTGGGTGGCTACGAGAGCCTGGCAGAGCATCCGTGAGTTCATCCTTCCATCCTCAGAGCCTCAAAGAGCTGCAGAGCACCACAACATCCCCACGGTTTTCCAGCCCCCAAAGCTGTTTTGGCTGCAGTGAAACTCGGGGCTGTTGTGCAGCACAAAGCCAGGGGGGGTTCCAGAGGGAGGGAATTGTGTGGGGGTGCAGAGACAGAGGAATTGTGCCTGCAGGGCTGAGCACACTCGGTGTCCATGAAGACAATCCCAGGAGCTGATGAGTGCTGGGATCAGGAGCAGCTGGGATTGAGGAATGCCCTGCTCTCTGCTCCCACAGAGGGCACGGTCACTGTGTGCACCCAGCTGCCTCTGGCTCCCTGGCAGGGCCTCCTGGGTGCCTTTTGAACTGCTCAAGACAGGATTCTCATGGGATTGCATGATCTTCCTCAAAGCCAATTTGCTTTTTGAAAAGGTGCATGGAAATGAGTGAGTGTATAGAAATGCTAAATCATTTCACTTACCGATTTCAGGGTAACAGCAAATCCTGAACCACTGCAGCAGCTGAAAGGAGCTGGTGCCAGTGACTGAGCACTTGGGGAAATGCCTTCTTGCTCTGTCCTCTGTAGCTGGAGAGAATAAATCCTCCAGAGTCACTGGGACAGCTTGAGGAGGGATCTGAGAAACCAGAGGGGAAACCAGGAGATTTGATACTGCAGCTTGCACATCCCCCACGTGCAGAGCTTACAGTGCTTCTGTAGAATAAAAAACAGCTCTGCAAGGAAGAGGAATAGGATTTTCTCCTTTCTCAGGTCCAGATGTTTATGTATCCACTTCTTATTAATCATTTGTGCCTTGGAGATGCAGTTCCCTGCCTTGTGAGCATTCCCATCATTCCCAGGAAGTGCTGCCAGGAGCTCTTTGCACCTGTGGGGTCCCACGAGTGGCACAGAGGAGGTGTCAGATCCTGCTGCCATTGCAGGGGTGCTGGCAGGGAACCAGCCTGGCTGCTTCTGCCTGCCATTGCAGGGGTGCTGGCAGGGAACCAGCCTGGCTGCTTCTGCCAATAAAACTCCCAAATTCTTGAGATCAATGATGGTTTTTATCCCTGCAGGGCCACCATGAGCCATGGCACGATGGATCCTGATCTCAAGAAAAGGCTGGGAATCACTGACACCTTGATCCGCCTCTCGGTGGGGCTGGAGGATGAGGAGGCTTTGATCGAAGACCTGGACCAGGCCCTGGAGGCTGCGGTGAGTGAGGAGTTCCTCTCCAGAAATAATCCCCAGTCAACCTTTCCCATGGGATGAGCCTTCAGCTCCTCCCAGATGGACCCTGGGCAGTTCCCCATGGATTCAGGAGCAGTTGGGATGTCCCAGGCACAGTTCCCATGGATCCAGGAGCAGTTGGGATGTCCCAGGCACAGTCCCCATGGATCCAGGAGCAGTTGGGATGTCCCAGGCACAGTTCCCATGGATTGAGGAGCAGTTGGGATGTCCCAGGCACAGTTCCCATGGATTGAGGAGCAGCTGGGATGTCCCAGGCACAGTTCCCCATGGATTGAGGAGCAGTTGGGATGTCCCAGGCACAGTTCCCCATAGATGGAGGAGCAGTTGGGATGTCCCAGGCACAGTTCCCATGGATTCAGGAGCAGTTGGGATGCCCC